GCAACGGCATTCGGCATGCTGGAGTGACAGTGGCGGTGGGCTTTCCCATAAAGATGGAGACAGAGACAGGGAAACAAACAGGGAAATATCTATTACACTCGTTCAAATTAATCCCCAGCTGACTCAGAGCGGCCGCACATGTGAAACAGGTATTTGCTATCGGCATATCACACCATCTCGATCAACCCTGGTGAGAAGGCCCAGGCATTGCATCACGATGACTACTACATCAAGTCTCCCCGGCCAAGGCTGCCGTTTGGAACGGCGATAATGGTCGCTTTGAACGAATACACGGCTGAGAACGGTAAAGTCTTTTTCGAATCCAACTCCGCTGTCTTCCCGTCTTGACTGAGAACTTATCAGGTGCTACACGAGTCATCCCCGGTTCCCACAAATGGGACAGCTCACGACGAGGCACGCCCGAAGAGACCATCCCAGCGCTCTGTCCCGAAGGCGGCGTCATCTACTTCATCGGAACCCTGTGGCACGGCGGCGGAGCCAATTTCTCGGACAAGCCTCGCCAGAGCGCCACGGTGCAGTACTGCCAGCCTTTCGTCCGGCCCATCGAGAATCAAATTCTGGCTGTTGATCCGAGGAAGCTGGACAGCATCCACCCACGCATCGTCGACTTGATGGGATATACACACATGGAGCCCTTCATGGGATATGCCGATGGCATGGGCCCTCGCAGGGCGGCGAGACGCATGGTGAAGTGGCTGCAAGAGGAGGTGGACAATGATCCCCCGACATTTGCGCACGGGTTCAAAGACTCCAAACTCTAGGGTATCATCACAGCAAGGGCATAAACCTGAGGTATTGGTGAGGTTTGGACTACCTCGCACATCAACCACGGCCAGCCCCTTGGAGGTGAGGCTAGTGTTTGTAGTTAGAGGATCAAAGCATGAAAAATGGCGAGAAAAGTCATCTCCATTCAACACTAGCCGAGGATTTCCAGAACAACTTGAAAGAGAAATAATGGCGCGGAGCGTCTCAAGTCATAATAGTCACTCACGTACTCGTACTCGTACTCGGTACTTACATGCTAATGCCCATCAACCACATATTTGACCAATCACAGTCCATGTTAAGTGATCAATATTATGCAAAACATCAATAATGGATAAAATCTGGAGAAGCGTGAAAGAACCTCGAACATAGAAAGGCATATCTTTGTACATATGTATAATAAACTCCCATCGTCATGGTAGTCTAGTAGACGTAAACAAAAGCTGCCCTGGCCGCCCGGATGTCCGGAATAAAAGGCCTTGAACGGCCCGAAAGGGACAACGTGTGGACGTTCTGGAGAGGAGAGTTTTCAACTGAGGACTGAGGGGCTGACAAATGATGTCGATCTGGGCACCTTGATCAGATTGGATTGCTGCTGTCTTGGCGTTTGTCACGGTCGCCGGCGTGACTCAGCGTGCACAACGACGTCAATGCCGTGTCATTGTACATGAGCCTAGCGGCACTAGGGTTGAGGGAAAAGAGTTTAGCCTGCAGGTTGATTGGGTAATTATTTGCTTAACCAAATTAGGCTCTCTCAAGTCAAAACACTAGTGTCTAGTAGAATCAATCTCACAAGTTTAGTCAGATGGCTAGTTCGCTAGGCGTGCCCAAGGGAGATTTCCTCTCCTCGATCGATTCTGCTTAGGCGCCGCCCACTACTGGGCTCACTGGGGATCGACTTGGAGGTGCCCCCCCGAAAACAAAACTTTGGAAGGGCGGCTGGGCCAATGCCAGGCAAGGCACAGAAAGAGGAAAAGTCACCACCAACGCTGCCCCAAACTTGGTGTTTGTGTGGCTTTCTCTTTCCAGCAACCTCATCGGCATCTTGCTGTATCCGCTTTTTTCTGATCAGCTGCGTCTGTTTCCTCCGTTTTGGACTTCCCTATACTCCGTGTTATCGACTTCTCAGTGGGCGTTGACCGGTGGCGGGCTGACTGCGTGTCGCCATCTCACTGAAGGATCGCTGGACTTGGGAACTCGAACTTCAACTCCGCTCAGTCAGCTCTCTCTCTGTCTACGCCTGCGCCCTCGCATACCTGCGCCTCTCCAGTATCTCTGTCCCACGTCGCGCGGAACCTCGTTATACTCGTGTCGTTGATGCAGCGTCACCGAGGGCAGTGGTCACGCAATGTCTTCATCACAGCCTGGCTCGCGGCGCATCAGCTCCGTCAGTAACTCCAATACCGAGCCTTTCCCTTCGATACCCGAACCGCCGGCCGGACCAAGTTCTACCAACAACACCACGACGACCAGCACCACGACTACGACGACCACCGTACACATCCCCCATCGCGGGAGACCCTATACCATAACCTCCACCCAACCTCCGCACCAAACCCCTACCGTCGTTGCGTCCACGCCCGACAATACTGTTATAACTAATGCCACCGTCACAAACCCGACCGTGACGAGAACGATCTATACCCCTCCTCAGATCAATCGATTGCGGCCAGTCGGGATCAGGAGACTACCCTCTTCGAACCTGCGACAGGCAGCACAAGATGGCGATTCAACATCAAGTCGACCTCCCAGCCGCTCCGAGTCTGGTAGAAGACGTAGCAATTCTGCACCACAACGTACGAACTTGGGTGTTTCGGGCTCAGGCACATTAACGAGGCAAAGTACGCGACAGTCACTTCTACCAACTCTTGCCGAAACCCCATCGGCACCGGATCAAGGAGATGGCGCCGTGGATCGCGACGCCATGCACGAGAACGTGACCGGCGTTCCAGGTAGGAGACGGAGCATCGGCAATGCTGCACGCTCCATCATTAGCAGAATGAGCGATACCTCGAGAGAGCGGCCAGGACCTGAATACGAAAACGAAGTTGTCGACTTGCTCGATGTGCTCGGTAAGTCATGGGTTATAGTTTTTAAACTTGGGCAATGCTGATTGAATTCTAGACCCCGAAGTCTCGACCCTGACTACGCTAAACAACGTCCAAAATTCGCTGTTTGTCCCAGACTTGGGCAGATGGGTAAACCGAAGACCGACATACACACTGAGCCGTCGACCAACGCAGACCCGGAGACCCGACACGATTGAAGAGAAGGCAGTGGGTGTGCCTCCAGCTGGCACCGAAGGGGCTCCTTCAGAGGAGCCCCCCGTAGCAATTCCGGGAGAAGAGGAATCGGTTGAGCCGACCCCTATGGAGCGGACCTGGTCATACCAGCGCAAACCTCAGATGGAACGCACACACAGCATTTCGTCTGTGGTCACGGACTCGCACTTCGCCGTGCTACCGCATGGCGTCTCTCTAGAAGGATGGAGCGAAGAAGATAAGGAGGCTCTCGACGATCATGTCAGGCACATGCTACACTCCAAACGATCGAAATTTAAACAGAGAATGGTTGCATTTGGGAAATATATTCAGAAACGTGAGTTTGTCAAGAGCTGCCCGTGTTCGTGTCTATTTGCTAACTGTGATAACAGCACTTGGATTTTTCGTGTTTTTATATGCAACTCTAATTACCCTGTTTGGTTTGGCTTGGGTTCTTTTCTTGATCGGTAGGTTGGAATGCATACTCTGGACGCAATATCCTATGCTAATCGTGTTTCTTAGGTTGGATCTATGTTGGAGACCGACAAGAATACACAATCAACGTAATCGACAACGTGCTTGTTGCTCTTTTTGCACTCGTCGGTGATGGCATGGCGCCATTTCGAGCGGTCGACACATATCACATGTGTTTTATTGCTCACTATCACCACCTGACGTGGAGGTTGCGACGAGAAAAGGGGTTACCGAAACTGCACGACCGCAACGATCTCCCTGCTCAATCAGAAAAGGAAGCCGACCCGGAGTCCGGGGCTCCAGAAGACCATGAGTTTTCTGTTTTGACGCACAAGCAACAGCAAAGACTCATACACCACCAAGCCAAATTCTCCAAATCGCATTCCTTCTACAAGCCCCACGAGACAGGCACCCATTATGCTTTCCCGCTACGCTTGTTGGTGGCGATCGTTGTGTTACTAGACTGTCATTCACTCTTCCAGATCGCGCTCGGTACCTGTACGTGGGCGATAGATTACCACACCCGTCCGCAAGCCCTGACTGCGACAATTCTGACGTGCTCCATCACCTGCAATATCACGGGCGGCATCCTGATCGCCATCGGAGATCGAAAGACGCGCAAGAAGGACGTGGCCTTGAAGATGGAGAGACAGGCCTTGACCGAGACAGCCATCAAGAAGGTGGAGAAACACAAGCGAGAGAGGCTGGAACACGAGCACGAGCCTCAGATCCGGGATGCCAATTTCGAAGTTATTGACGAAGAGACTGCTGACCAGGTTCGGAGGAGTCATTAGGTATGGCTCTCAAGGCTACCCGTCCAATTGCCACGGAAGCATGGCGTTGGGGGCGGTAGGCCTCTTCAGTTGGTGTTGGCGGATATGAATCCAATATGACAAGCAGTTGTGCTAAAGGGAAACGATGTATCCTCTCCCTGGTGACTGTAATGATAACCAGAGTATTTGTGGAAAGTTGAGTGATAGTAATACCAACCTTGCTCGACCATACCCTGTGGCCTCAGGATCTCTGAACAGGCTGAGAAGTGTTGCAATGCATACTCGGGCTTAGTCCACCTATACCGAATACTGATACACATTGGAAGAGATGCAGCACCCAGCGCCTGATGGTAGCCATTAGGCTGATTCTCGGGGGCGCAGGAGATGAATCGTTATTCGACCAGCGCAACCGGCTCAGCCTCATCAGGCACATATTACAGGCCTGACACTGCCGCAGTGACCACCATCTTGCTTTCCATCATGGCCCTCCCTTTCACTTCTTTCATTCTGACCTTTACTCCTTCGTCTTGAATACGTTGGCTCATATCAGGACTAGGGGATGAGGAGAGAAAGTATCGTAATGCGCCGCTCGTGTTTTAATATCTGCTGAGCACTTTCTCTCTGGGAGCCTCGACCGGTCACATCCCCCTTTTTCTTTTCGACGATCCTTCCAGGACTCGATCTCTCTGTCTTCTATTCCACAGATATGGCTGAGGCTGTTCTGGGCGTGGTGGCCGGCGGTGCGGGCCTCGCCAGCCTCGCGCTCCAGCTCTTCGAAGTGTCCCAGAAGCTGCACGAACTGCGGGCCAACATTCGCGACGCACCCGTCGAGATGCGCGAGATTCTCGACGAAGCCGACCTCCTGCGTACCATCCTCGCCGAATACCTCCACCTCTCTGGAGCAGCGGACAAAACCCGACTGATGCCGACTTTGGTACAGAAGCAGGCCCTCGACCAGTGCCTGAAAGTCCTCGAGATCCTACGGCACATGGCGCAAGAACTCGAAAGCACGATGCGAACTTCAAGCTCGAGGCGGGTCATGACTTGGGCCAAGGTCGAGGCTGCCTTTAACAGGAAGCGGTTTGTGAAATTACAAAGTACGCTCGAGAGAGCCAAGTCAACCCTCGTCCTTGCGATATTGACCAATCCAACTTCGAAACCATGTGCCCCCCAGAGGGAAGTCGTACTCCAAGAGTCCACCGCAGAAGGACCTTCAGAGGCAGCTGGTCTTCCTTGTACGACATCTTTCGGTCTCGAATCGTCTGCTACGAAGAGGAGAATTGCCAATACCAGCTCCAGCTCTTGGTTTGCCAAGTACAATATTGGCATAGGAAATGTGTATATTAGAGGCAAGCATTCTCGGGGTGGAGCTGAGACTACTAACAGTACCGCCGATAACGGTCTCAAACTGTCTGTTTCATTTGCGTCCTGGATGTTCAACAACTTGGTTGCCTTCATGTTTGACTCTCGTCCACAAAGGTTCCAGCTGACGCTACAAATCAATCGCCTTGTTCCACCTGACGCAGAGATATTTCACCTTTGTGCTGCAGGCGACACGATCGGCGTGGGGAGGTCCATTGCCGAGGGGAAATCTTCCGCATCAGATGTTACATTCGAAGGAGTAACTCCCTTAATGGTGCGTCGAGTCCAAAATAGTGTCGGAGTCGGCCTGCCACACAAGCTGAGGAGAAGGAGGCACACTCACCACCTGTGGCACTACTGACCATCAGGATGTTTCAGGTTGCTGCGTATTACGGACATGCCGATGTGTGTCGTATCCTTCTTGACGCAGGTGCAGACACGGCTATGACGGTACTTCGGGGCTATTGCGGACGCACGACGATTCAATTGTATGCCTCTTTCCCGGTCTCGCTGTCTTGGGCTGACCACTTTCCCTAGAACTGCTCTACATTTTGTTGTGGGTGGCATGCCCCTTCCAGAGGCGTCGGTCATGGCCCTCTGGGACCATGTAAATCCATGGAACACCTATTGGGAGGGCTCCATGACCGAATTCTGCTGGGAAGATCCCCAAATTGTGTCGAATTCAGACGCTGTGCGTGCTCTCGTCGAGCACGAAAACATCTGCATTGAGTTTGGCTGGTCGCCGGCGTCGTGCAGTGCGGGTCATGTTGACGAGGCCACGCACATGGGAGCTGGCCATCTGTCCCAAATCACGCCAGAAGATTTTCAATGGCTGATAGCGCCCGAGAGAATCAACCTCGTCGGTCAGGAACTGGATTTCTTTTATATGTCCTTGATGCTGATGCAGTGTCGCATCTGGCATGCCAATCTTCGCAGGATTTACGTCGTTTTCTCAAACATTACAGATCTGTCGAAGATGGCGACAATCGACATCATTCCTGGTATAACTATCTTACACTATCTCCTCCCGCGTCTGCCATTTGTCGAGGACGAACATCTGAATTGCCTGAGAATCATGCTCGAACGACTGGTGCAAGCTGGTGCAATCGAGATGGTCGAGGCTATGCGCCCAGAACAACCGCTCGTGTTTGCCGCCAGAGGGGGTATTGTTTGTTATGTATCCAGGTATGGTAGCTGGGAGCCAGAGCGCGCCGCTAGCGCCCTGACTACCGGCTTGAACCTTTGGTTAGAGATACTGGGAAGGACACAGGTGAATATTGGCAGCTACCTCATCGGCCAACGTAAGTATATCACCAAGGAACCGATCGAGTGCGGCGTCGTTCCACAAATTGTCGAGAAATTTCCTGAGCATTTCCTTGACAAACAGTGGTACGTCCAATTGTCGTGTCGCAAAGATGCGGACCCGATGGATGTACACAATTCCTGTGGTTTTCGCATCAAGGCCCAATACTATTCTGTCGAGAGTACCTATCCTGCACCTGGGGGTTGGCCCGGTGATGAGGCCAAGGGTAATCAGCAAACTCTTCAAAGCGTGGATGACTTGTGGGTTCACAACAGTGATGATGACTCAGAGCTAGAATCCAACGTATGATCAGACATGATCAAGACGTCTGTTGAGGACGGCAATAATGGGACGTGACCTGATGGTAGGGGGAATGCACTCCATTGACAACTGTGACAGAGGCTCCAAGGTGGTTTTGGTCTGCTTGAGCTACGATATCACGATGAGAATGCGGCAACGAAAACCGGAAGCCGAATCCATGGTATGGCTCGGAGCTGTGGTGTTGGGGTTTGGAACGGAACGCTCACAAAATATCCTCGTCGCCTGTGAATGGTGAGGAGTTTGTACCTTGAATGACAAACGTACTTATGAACATATTGTGAACTGGGGTACGAGGAGACACCTAAGAGAGAGCGCGAGAGAGGAGTCGATGACGAGTACGGGTTCGGGCTTGAAAGAAAAGGACAAGGCCGTGTAAAGCACTTACAATTGAGGTACGTAACGGATCTGATGGAATATGGCTTCTGCTGAGCCAGTGCATGATAAGACGCCAGCAGGGAACATACAATGCCGACGACACAATCTACGTACCCCCGGTGAACTACAGTAGAACAGGTAGAAGGGTTCGACTAGAGGTCTATACCTCCCTCGTATCGCTTACGGGAGTGGTTCCAGGAGTGGTATACTTGTACTCCGGACGAATTATTCCCTAGGAGTACTTACTAGGTAGCTACTGTTTGTATTGGAGATGGAGATGGATTGCTGCAGTGGTGCTGGAAGTATATATAACATGCTGGAATAGGATAGCACCCATATTATTGCGTGAGACGAACATGTCAAATTCTTACGAGGTACATGTCTACCTGGTCTTTGTAACATACTTGAGCTGCAGGACTTGCTTGAAGGTGACTTGGTCAGTAGGACCTCGGTAGAACCTGGTACGAGGTACATATATGTATACACACCAAAGTAAGTACGTTGTACGTTGTATTTTGCTGCCTTGTCAAACATTAAACATGAAGTGTGTGATGGCGCAAGGCTTTACCGAAAAAAAGGGGGGGAGGGGGGGGGAGGAGAAGACGGATCAGGGAGAGAAAAGTGGATCCAACGAGTCCCCAAAACCAACGTTCGACTTCGAACCCGCCTTTGTGCAGCTCATGAGGTGGTGCTCGGGTGATTGCCTATTTCAATGCCCCGAAGACAGCCCGGACTTTCAGCTCCCGCCAAAATACGTATACCTCGTCGAGAATGAAAAACAAAGAGCAAAACGGTGACGGTGACGGGTGACTGAGATGGTGTTGTTGCTCTGGGCCGGGCAGAGAGCCTCCCGTACAGTCATGAACGGTTCGAAGTCGAATGACAGCTCGGTGGCTGAGCGAACAAAATCTCTATGCACCGCGCCCTGTGGCCCAAATAATGACCTTGATACAAGTTTTGGTCAGTGGGAGTTGGTTCTTCGATGGACTATCATAATCAAAATACCAAGACTGGTTGACGTGTTGCCTATCCTCGACGTCCAAGGATGAATATGGATATTGCTGAGCAGACAAAACAGAAAGCTCCCGAGCACCTCCCTTCTCCGTCTTCATCGTATCGTATACACGTAGAGTCGAAGTAACACCCCTCCTAAAGCTTAAACCGGCCGGCCTCCACGACTCACCCGCCATACTCAATCTTATAGCTCGACTGCCTCTCCCGGATCGATGCCTTGGGCAGCGCGATCCGCAACACCCCGTCCTTGAGCCGCGCTCTCATCCTGTCCATGTCGACCGGCTGGGGGAAACTGAACGATCGAAGAAGCCGGCCTGCGTGGCGCTCGGAGAGTAGCAACGTCGTCGTCGGCTCGTCCATGTCGCCGTACGAGGAAGACTCCCTGCGGTGCAGCTTGTTGGATCTCGCAGGATCGGCCTGTTTGGCCGAGGGTTTGGCGTCGTTCTCGCTACTGTGTGGCTTGCCGCTTTCGCCGGCGTCGTTGTGTTCATGTTTATGGCCATGGTCGTGCTCGTGCTCGTGGTCGCGATCCCGTGAGCGGCTCCTCATTTCGACGGCCTTGGGCTTTGCACCACTGCCGTGTCCGCCACCCTCGGTGACAGCCGTGGCGGTATCGCTGGCCCCTCTTTCCACCCGCGTATCTCTGCCCGGCCAGATCCCAAAGTTGTTGCCCCATTCGTGGTACAGGTCTAGTTCCGGCACGTGTGCCTCGATATGCAGGCCTTGAGAGCCCAGTCTCTCGATCCTGATGTCGTTCGGGTTGTGGATGCCCGGGAAATCGCCTTCTAGAAAGTACGCTTCGGCCGTCTCCCTGACGGTGAAGTTCGGGAAGACGACATCCTCCTCATATACCGACTGCCCTTGGCTGTGGCGGCGGTGGTGTTTCTGGTTGAAGACCGAGTCAAGCTCCCCAGAACCCAGGTAGTCGAACACCGAGCGTATAGACGAGCGGTGGTACGGGCCCCGCGAATCGAATGTGACATGTGGTGGTTTCAGCACTGTGTTGAGGTTCAATGGAGACATCGTGGTGGCTTTATATCGTCTAATATGATAGAATTTAGAGACACTCCCTATTTTCCTGTCTTTCGCTTCGGGTGTCCCAACATACACCCCTTTATGTATCCTCGTATTCCAGCACTTGGAGCCACCAACAATTGGTCACATGAGTATATATATATATGATGGCGAGGCATTGTAACCGGTGAATCGAACCCAAGGATCACGTGGCAGAGCGGACCATTTCGGAGCTCACTCCACCTTGAAGCGTCCAGCGATTCCCTATTCGTACAATAAGTGTCTTGGTATTAAGACTACCTTGAATGATGGCTGCTTTTAGAGTAGTTGTATTTTGGCATTTATGTGTGGTGTGATGGAAAAAGAGCCTCGGAAGCTCATCAAATTGTTGGTCGCGTGAGCTAGCAAAATCTGGGGACATGACCGCCGGTGTGGCCAAGCTGGAGCTGTTGCCTACCTGAGACACCAGCGAGATACGAACAGCAGCGTGCCTCTTTGGGTAGGACACTATCATCAAAATGGGCATGTTGTAACCGGGCAGCTACCTTGGCACACAGTCCGGATTTCATGGTGGAGGGTTGGTTCCCGACGCAGTCGAGACTGATTCGTATGAAATGGTTTGTGGCTGGCTCTGCCTCCCATTGTAGCCATGGTATGATCGTCGAACGGCAGGGTACTTTGGCGTACGAAGCTGGTCAGTCTGCTCTTGCCCTCCGTGAAGGTGTAGGCAACCGTGCCTTGCGTGATGCAGGTCACTTGATTCGCATGGCAACGCCCGGGGAATGCCAGAGATGGCATCAATCGCCAGTAACCGGCCGTATTCGAGAGTTCAGCCTCGCATCGTACCTGCTGTGAAAAGGCGTCCGAGCAACCTCGCAAGCAGGAGCAAAGGGCCGTAAACTAATATCCTGATTGCAAAGTGGTCGAGTTTCGAATTGTCAACCTGATGCTCGTAAACGTCAACAAGCCCAATATTTCCATTGGACGGGCCGGTCCAGCAGGCTGATCGCTGTTGGAGCACCTGATGTCGAGGGACCCAGAAGTTTCTCCACCTCGTACCCCACAAGTATAAGAGCTTGAGTCTGTTCCCCTTTGACGACGCGTTGGGCTCTATCCTCCCATAAACAAATCCATATTCATGACCAAGAAAAAGTCAAGAAAGAGAATCAGCAATGCCTGAACCACACAATGATGGCCTGCACTCCCTGAAGACCAACTTCGAGGTAGGCGTCATGGCCGCCAGTGGTGTTTATGCTGCCAACGAACTGGGCAAAGCAGTCGCCGAGGACTATAAGGACGCCAACGAGCACTATGTCAAGGCTGCTGTTGGCGCAGCGGTCGCCGTCGGAGCGTTCCATCTGCTCCAGAAGCAAAAGCGGGAACGCGAGGAAGACGAGTACATCAGCAGCAGCGATGAAGAACATCATCATCGCCATTCACCTCGCCCACGTAGGCACTCACATCATGAACATCACCACGAGCACCTGGAGGGCCCTGGCCACACCAGACGGCTTTTGGAAGAAGCCGTGGGAGCGTACAGCCTGGGCAAAGAGCTCTTGGGCGACAGGCGGCATCATGTAATCCACCTGATCACGGAGGCCTTGGGAGCAGTCGCCGCAGCGAGAGACGTTAGCGAGAGGAACAAAGAAGTTCGAGAGATTTGATTCGGTCGAAGCCGAGGAGGCTTGGGGTGCTTAGGGTGTTGACTTGCAGGAATGAAACGGAAACAGAACCAGCAGAACCAGGAACTGGGGATGAAGTTGGGAAAATGACTCGCATGATGCAAATTGCTAGTGTCATTTTAGCGCCATTTCGATGCGTTTTAGCGGGAAAGCATGGATGGGAATTTGTAATGACAGAGGGTTTGTTGAAGGTCATGTGCAGGAAGGAGTCTTGGCACTACAAATGCGGAGTAGTCGCATTGACATCTCAACTCATTCTTCTCTTTTACCTGCGTCTGTGAACATGACCTCCTTTCCATTTCCGGCAACACTAACCATCTATGCAATCTCTATGCTTAAATATGATGCTTATTCAAGATAGAACCATTGTCCCACACCCCGAGGACACCCAAAAGGGTTGTGGCGTGAGGAGACCTCCGGGATATCGCCAGCCTCGCGTGTGCCCAGTCGATAGCCCCCGATCACAACCGAAAGTCTCGTTACTGAGCTAAGCCTTTTTGCCTCGTCTCGCTCTGGCCTTGTCGCCTCCGCCTGGAGACCTCCAGGCGCGTGGAACCACTCCCGCGCAACTCTGTTTGCGATCCCAGTCCCGTGGCACTGGCACAGGCACAGGCACATCGACGCTGTCAATCTCCCTCCCTACTTGTCCCTACACACTTGGAACACAGCACGAGGTCGCGTCAGGCTATCGTCACACATCGATTTCCTCGGTTCCCCAAGGGAAATGATATGCTCTTCGAACCACTTTTCTTGGCCTTTTCACCTTGTGTTCGGGCTATGAATATGCTTGCCTAAGGTTCCGTGCATCTGACCAGTATTTTGTGAGTGAAAGATATTCAGCCTCAGGAGAAGGAGGCGGATAAGGGTGCCGGGAGGGAGGACGTGCCGAGGCCTTTTCCCAGC